CATTCTCGTCTAAACCTTACTCGATCAGCGTCAAGAGCACTAAATTTCCGGGGAACGAACAGTTATACCCCAACACTAAAACTTGTATTCTCATTATGTATTTCACGTATAAAGTAGTTTACGGAGAAATCATTTAATTCCGAATGGTCAAGTGTTGTGGTGACGTGTGTCGACCGAAGAACCAATCACATTGTGGGACTACCAATAGGACGTGATTGGTGGATTCACTTGAAGTTGAGAAGGTATAGTTTTTTCGAGTGTACGTTTAACTGGACGATTGGAGCGGTGTGCATGAACATGAGGTCTAACGGGTGATCGATCAAAGTCAAGAACGCACATCTCTATTTTATTACACACATTTGTGTGAGGAACAGCAGACGGAGTGAACCCCATAGTCACGAATACCTGCTACTCCGTCGTGGAAACCGGTAACCTAAGCCCCGGGACTTGGAGTGGCGAATCACATAAGGCCCCACTAGGCTAGGCGTGGTATTGAATCAGACGACAGCAAGGCTGCCTACCACCAAAGTCTGATGACGGTGGCGGGGATCGAACCTCGGACCATAGAGTCCAAAGCACGCCAGTTCCAGCGACTAAACCACTGCAACACCACCATCACGAGTAACTGTGAATTTAAAGTAATTCTTACACTTGCCACAGCTCTCTAGTGTTAGGCCAAGCCCAAAGTAGCTGACCTGACTTCTGCAGAATTGCAACCCTCTTGTCGCAACCGCTGCCACCACTTTTTGGTATATTTTTGGAGATTTTTTCGTTTCCGAATCAAGTTTTCCATGTATCGTCCCCGTTTTTCTATATCCTATCTTTCCAAATAGAGAATTACGATCGAGATTTATTCTCCTCGAACGTACACGAATGAATTGAAACAACTTAGAGTATCAAGCTTGGATTAGCCCATTCGATTGTTTAGAGGCACCAGGCACTCTTGATGGTCTTCAGTGTGGGTTTCACTCCTTGGGAGATCATTAATTCCCCACTGTTTGTATGCATTCAAATGCGATGGAAATGTTTGTGACAACCAACAAAGTGCACTGGACAGCTGTTTCATCCTGTTTGGGACTCGTCAGCAGTGCGTACTTTTTGTNTGCGTACTTTTTGTGTCCCTGTCAGGACTCGAACCGCGATCAGTCGGGTCGAGACTTCAAACCCTTACCCCTGAGGTACACGGTCGACGGTTATCGCCTTGCGCGAATGGCTCAATCAATTCAATTGAAACAACCTTTTCCCGATATGAACTTGAAGAAAGAATACAGCAGCACAGTGTTGCACAATTAAGTTCCGGAAAATTTTCGCTGTCTCTTCAAGTACATACTACAGTCAAAGAATATAATGAAAACTAACAAGTTAAATCTACCGCTGTTGGTGTTATCTTCGTCCATCTTTCTACCAAGGTGGGGCTAGTGTTACTAGTAACTCTTTCTGCTTGCACAGTTCAGGCTTTCAT